GCGGGGACCCCCCGGCTCGGCCGGGGTCGCTGCGCCCCGCGACGGGGCCGCGCTGCCCCGCGGGGACCCGCGCGGCACGAGGAGGGGCCGGCGGCGCGTCCCCCTCCCCGCACACCCGCTCCCGTCCACGCTTCTTTGGCGACAAGTTGGGTGCTCGGCACCCTCCTATGGTGGGGGGCAGCGGCGCCCCGACAGCGGCAGCCCCAGAGACCAAGAGCGACCCCCGGGAGGGGACGGGACACTGAGCCGGCACCATAGGGAGGCGCTGGGGGTGGCCGGCGGGTCTAGGGGGCCGCAAAGGGACACAAAGTGAACAGGAATGTCCCGCCAGCGCAGCGCTGCGCCGGGGCCGCCTGCGGGACTCGCTCCCCACGGCCCGGCGGGACCGCGGCGCTCCCCGGGAACGCGCTCGGCTGCGGGGCCTCTCCCCGCCCCCTCCGCGTGCTCCTTCGGGGGTTCAAGTGCCAGACCGTCGGGGAGGCACCCCCGGCGGTCTACACAGGCACACACATATATAGCATGTCTTATATACATGCATATATTGTACATGTATATATTATATACATACATAGATGTATTATATAGACTATATATTATATACACCTCTGATTTCTCACCCCCTGGGGAGGCAGCGAGGCCCCTGCCCCAACTCTGTCTAGGAGGGGGATCTCCCTGCCCCAGCCGCGCGATCCGGGAGGGTGCAGCTCAATCCCACCCCGGAGCTGCAGGGAAGCCCCCCGCACGATTCGGGGGACTGARGCTCCTTGCCGCGTGTGCGGGCACCGAGTGGCGCAGAAGCTGCTCGGGGGGCAGGGACGGGCGGGACGGGGGTGTCAGACACCGGGACGGGGCTGCGCGGACCCCCCAGCGCCCCCGCTCGCAGGGCGGCTCCTGCGCGGTGCGACGGGACGGGAGATGCGCGAAGGCTTCGTGGCTTCTCCCCTGGGCCCCTCCGAGCCGCCCCTGGAAGGCTGCGGCTTCCTCTGCGGCAGAATTATCGAAATCATTATTATCTTCTTCATCATCATCTCACAYATTTTTTTTGCGGGAAGCGGATGCTCTTCCCTAGCCCGTCGAGGAGCAGCAGCTCATGGAGGCGATGGGGCCCGAGAGCGGGGAGCTGATTTTACCCGCCCCGGTTTTTGGTGGCCGCGCTGCAGGTTTTGATGCGGGTCTGGGAGCCCCGGCAGGACCCCCTTGCTCGCCCCGCAGCGCGGGGGGCCGAGAGCTCGGGTGAAGCGCCCGCCCCGTCGGGGCCCGTGGGACAGCCCGGCCACGGAGAGCGGGAATCGCTCGTGGGCCGAGGCCGCGAGAACGACGAGGTTCAAACTGCCCCCCGACCCCGCTGCCCGTCCCGCTCCGGCCCCGCTCCCGGTCCCGCTCCGGCCCCGCTCCCGGTCCCGCTCCGGCCCCGCTCCCTTCGCACGACCCCGAGGGAAGATCGGGCAGAGAAGCTCCTCGCACTGCCCCCTCCTCGGCCTTCCCTCCCCGGCAAAACCGGCTCTTTTAAAAACAGACACACGTGCTTTTTCGCCCCCCTTTTGACACTTTATTTTTCCACCCAGGTGTTTCCCATCCCGGCGGTGCCTCCGCAGGGGGGTCCCCGCTGCCCCAGGGGAGGGCTGRGGGGCTCCGCGCAGCTCCTGCCCCTCGGGCCGTTTCCGCGGGACGCGGCGGTGCCGGCGGCGGCGCCCGGTGGGGCCGGAGCCCCCGGGCTGCCCCCGGGCCCGGAACCTGCCCGGGCTGCGCGGGGAGCGCGGGGCCCTCCGGGACCTGCTGCTGCCTCCTGCCTGCGCCGGGAGAGGGGAAAGGAGGGAAGGGGGGAAGGGAGGAAGGAGGGAGGGAAGGAGGGAGGGAAGGAGGGAGGGAAGGAGGGAAGGAGGGAAGGAAGGAGGGAAGGAAGGAAGGAAGGAAGGAAGGAAGGAAGGAGGGAAGGGCTCCGCGCAGCTCCTGCCCCTCGGGCCGTTT